AGGGAGGGCTTGGCTGAGAAGCTCATGGAAGATGCTGAAGGAGGCAGGGTCTAAGCCGTGCCTCTCAGAATTGGGCACAGGCCATTCTCCACACTACTTCTTCCCCAGTCTCCTTGTCAGGTGGACTACAGGGCAGATTTGGTGTCCTGAAGAATCGGGCCGTTCACCAGCAGATACATGAAGTGGATAGGGATCCGCAGCATTTGGGTAGGCACTGTCAGCAGTGGATGTGTAGGGCAGCAGAACACAACCAGAGTAGGAAGCCTGAGTATACTGGTGCCTAAACACGTAAGACACCAGCTTTCTTCTCTCGGCCTCTCGGAAGTAACCGGAGGAGAATCTGAGGGCACTGGCTAAAGCTACTGGAACCTGGATATCATTGTAAATATGACCTCGTTTGCATCTACAGGTCTGTTAGGCCCAAGACATTGAGTTACAAAATGAGTGAATAGATGAGATGAGGCAGGTCCAATCATGCCTTCATTAGAGAAATGTTTATTGAGCCTCTGCATGCCATGCACAGTGCTAGATGCTGGGTGTACAATGGTTTACAAAACAGAGGTGACCCCTGCTCCACGGAGCTTACAGCCTAATAGCCATACAGCTCAGTCTGGTGCCATCATCTGTGTACATGCTATTCAGGAAAAGCACAGGATTCATGAGATCATCTTAGGGCAAGGATTATTTTAGATTAGGGGGCAGGGGAGGACTGTTTGGAAGTGACATTTAAACCCACACCTGGGCCAGGCATGGTGGCTCACACCTGTAATCCCCAGTACTTTGGGAGGCAAGGCAGTGGATCACCTGAGGTCAGGAGTTCAAGACCACCCTGGCCAACATGGTGAAACCCCATCTCTACTAAAAATGAAAAAATTAGCCAGGCATGGTGGCATGCCATTGTAATCCCAACTACTCAGGAGGCTGAGGTGGGAGAATCACTTGAATTCAGGAGGCAGAGGCTGCAATGAGCTGAAATCGTGTCGCTGCACTCCAGTCTGGGCAACAGAGCAAGACCCCATCTCAAAAACAAACAAACAAACAAACCCAGACCTGGAGATGAATAAGAGCAGGGTTAGCAAGTGAGGGGCAGGGGGTGTGCCTCCAGGCAGCAAGAATGGCAAGTGCGAAAGGTTTGGGGACAAATCCTTGGCCATTTGGAGGCTGAAAGGCCAGTCGGGCAGGAGCATAAAAGCAAGGAGCAGGAGAGGCGAAGAGGAGGCTGAGGAGGGAGGCAGAGGCCAGACTTCACAGGGCCACATTAGGACTTTGGACTTAAGCCTAAATCCAGCAGGAAGGAGAGTGATGTGATCAGATTTATTTTTACAAAGATTGCTTTGGCATCTGTGAGGAGGAGCAGATTACAGGAGGGAATGCAGGGAGAGAGGTATGAAAGCTGGCAGTTGCCAAAGGGACAGGTGATGGCGGCATGGCCAAGGTGATGGGGTAAAGGGGAGGAACTGAAGAAGCAGTTTTTAAAAAGAATTGAGACGGGCTGGGTACCGTGGCTCACGCCTGTAATCCCAGCACTTTGGGAGGCCAAGGCAGGCAGATCACAAGGTCAAGAGATCAAGACCATCCTGGCCAACATGGTGAAACCCCGTCTCTACTAAAAATACAAAAATTAGCTGGGCATGGTGGCGTGTGCCTGTAGTCCCAGCTACTTGGGAGGCTGAGGCAGGAGAATTGCCTGAACCCAGGAGGCAGAGGTTGTGGTGAGCTGAGATGGCGCCACTGCACTTCAGCCTGGTGACAGAGCGGGACTTCATCTCAAAAAAAAAAAAAAAAAAAAAAGAATTGAGACAATAAAGGTTTTTCTTACACCCTTGCCTTGTATAGATGTCCTGAAACACTGGCTTCGACAAGGCAAACAGCAAATATTTTGGCCATGCTAATCTGTAACCTAAATCTGTTGTGTTTTAGGTTAGCTGGGACCACAGTCCCCTGCCTCAACCAGGGCCACATCTGACCAGAGTCAGTTTTCTGTCTGAAGATTTCCTGACAAAGCTTTCACAACTTTCCTGCTCATGTTTAAAATAATGACGATGAGGAAACTGTAACTATCGTAGGGAATTCCCATTTGCATTTCATCTGATTTCTGCTCACGTTTTTTTTTTTTTAATTTTAAAGATGCTAAAATAAGTCACCTGCGCCACCAAATATGATGTCATAACTACAGTTCTGAATTGCATCTGTCCCAAAGCCAAAGCGACCTATTCGTGAGCAGAAAAATGGCCGAATATCCTCAGAAAAAGAGCCCAATTAGAGTTTTGCTCATTGTGGAGTTCTTTGCCTTTGCTGCTTAACATGTGGACCCAGCACCCGGTAGCTTGTTAGAAATTCAGGACGGGGAAGGAAGCTGCATTTGACACAATCCCCAGGCAATTTGTAAGTACTTGACATTTTGAGAAGCACCATGGTTAGGTCACCCTAGGGCCATCTAAAAGTGGGTGGGCAGCAGCAGGTGCCAGGTATTTGAAACACAGTGAGACACTGCAAGTGGTTAGGAAAACCCAACTGGTCCAACAGGAACTGGCTTTTCTCTGGAAGCCCCAAGCTCCCAAGTCACATAGAGCATTGCAGCCAAGCTCGGAGACAGTGTGTTGGCTGCTGGTTGTGTGGCTGGTGAGAGGATACGAGTGGACCCTCCCCTGGCGCTGAAACGCTGTCAGGTAGAAACTAGGACCAGAGTGGACACACGGGGAGGTGTTTCCCCTGGCAGCACCAGAGACTGAGGGGGGTTGAGCTCTCCTACTCCCTCCTTCTGTAATGTAGACAGTTTGGTTCTTGTCCTCTTCACCTGGCTGCTAAGAGCCCTCATTGCTTGTGGGTGGTTTGGGTGACTTTCCTGCTTCCTTCTGAATGGAGGCGTGCTGATGAACAGGGCAAGGACGCTTTGGCGTCTCAGTAAAAAATACTCTGCAGTGGCTTTTGCTAGAACAGAACACCGAGTTCCAGGGGTTCTAAAAGCTCTGCTCATAGTGCCTGCCTATGGGGTCAGCTCCTGCAGGCCGATAACCCCTGGCACCCCTCGGTCTCGCTCTCACTCTTTACCTGAGGAGTATGTGGCACAGACACCAGACACAGCCTGGCCAAAAAAGGATACTTTGTTTCATTCCTGTGTTCTTGAGAAGTCTTTCAAGGCACAAACCTCGATCAGAATCGAATCACGTACCTCTGTCTAACTAGAGCTGATCCTCCCACATCATCAGACAACTGGATGAAGTTTGTGGGCTGTTTAAAGCACATGGTTTGTAAACACTGTAAAATCAAACATTACTTTTGACTTTTATTTACTGTAGCATTTCACATTTACTTAGCACCAAAATAGCTGATGAGGTCTTCCCTGCCTTTGTTCCTTCTCCTGTTCTTTTTCTTACACTTCTTTGCTCCCTGGCTTCTGCAGCAGAGGTTTCTCTGCTCTGATTCCTCCTCTCCCAACTTATCACCCCTCCTCCTGCACGTCTGCCCACCAGTTCCACACCACTGTCCTCCCTGGGCCCACTCGCTGTCTCCCTTTCCTCCCCCTGTGCCTCTCTTGCTGCCCCTTGATCCTCCGGGATGTCTTAGCTACCTTTCCCTCTCTCTGCTTTCACTTCCCAAAGCTGCAGGCCCTCCTTACTCACGCTCGACTCCCCTCTGCCTCCACCAGGCTATTTTCTTTTGCCTCCTGATACCCACCACAGAGTCCTCCCTTTTTTCCTCTTTCCTCTAAAGGAGGAAACATGGGGATCAGAGATTTGTAGAATCAGAGTCACAAGGGACACTGCTTGTGCTACACTGGCAGTTACTTCTGAGTCAGAAAATCTTTCTTCTCCTATCACCTTCAATAATGGCTGCCCCCCACCCTGTCTCTCAAAGAGAAAATTTCCAGGCTCCTTCACCAACGCTTTCACCCCTTTCCTGTCTCAGCACACACACATGCATGCACACAAGCGCACACACATATAAGCACACGTGCACACATGCAGGAATGCACACCTATGCATAGAAAAGCACATGTGTACACACAGGGGTGCACACACATGTGCACACGCGCAGGGGTGCTCGCCCACACTCACAAACTCTGGATGCCCTGGTGCAGACAGTGTTTGTGCCTGGCCTCCCCTATGGCCCTGAGCTTCCTCTCCAGTGTCTGTTTTCTCCCCGGTCAGGCTGACTTGTGCTTTGCACTTCCAGGGTGAGTCTTGGACACATAATTCTAGTGTGAGGTGGTGGTGAGCCACAGCCATGGTGGGGCTCCTTGCTCCAAGTGCAACTCTTGGGTGGCGGGAGGGCAGCAATGATCAGACTGAGCAGGAAACTCATGTCAATGCCAGCTTCCACCTGGGGTCATGTTTAGTCAATCAGGTGACAGTCAATGTTCTTATCAAGTGAGCTGCTTTCCGTGCCACTGGGCAGGGCATCTTCAAAACAGAAAATCCAGACAGAAAGTGAACAGAGCCCTGAAGATACACCCTTGTAACCATAAAACAATGACTCTGAAATGCAGCATTCTCAGCCAGAGCTTCTCCAAGCTATGGAATCTAGGGTGCTATTTCCTTCATAGCTGGGGAAACAGTTACATTGAGTAAGTTGGTTGGGGACGGCAGAAAAATCTCTTGATATCCCAGTACTTGGCTTCTCACATTGAACATTCACTTGAAAGGCCCAAGGAACATTAATTTGAACAGAGATCAAGCTAGGTGTTGACAGGAGGCCAGCCTCACACAGGCAAGGTCTCTCCAACCCAGCCCTGCTTCCACATCCCCATCCAGACTTGCTGGCTGCCTGTGGCACAAAGCTGCACCTTAATTCCTAATGCAGCAGTACCCACCCCTTGGAGGACAGGAGGAGAGCTGCCTGCAAACCCTCCAGGTAAGCGGGGCTCGCAGGTGAGCTAGGACATGCCCCACCAAGTTCAACTCCACCCTATTGCTCTGCATCCAGTGCCGAGGTGTGGTCTTTGCTTAGCTGTTCTCCAAGAAAATTCCCAAGATGAGGAGGAAGCAGTGACAGCTCAGGCCAGGACAAAGCTCCATTTCATTTCCCTGCCCCACCCCCCAACTCCCCCACTGCTTTCCACATACCCTGAGGGGAGCAGAAAAGCAAGTGTGAATATTATTCTCCACCTGAGTTCCCTTTTGCATCAACTAATTACCAGCCCAACTGCCAATAAATTACTAGTATAAAAAGTTGTGTGTGTACACTGAGAGCCGTAGAGAGATATATGTATATAGAGTCATGGAGTTCAGCCTTTTTTACTTGCCCTCTCTCTTGTGGGCAGCTTCAGACAAAAAGCTTCTGTCCCCCGAAGAGTTCATCGGGTCATGGGTGCCACGTAGTTGGCAGGGAAGAGGCCCAGTTTGTTGTGCAGGCGGCCAGTCCACCAGGATGGGTTGGAGCTGTCCAGGACCTCCACCACCTCCCCGCTGTGGAATCCCAGCTCATCATCCTCCAAGGCCTCAAAGTCGTACAGTGCCCGGGCCCACCGCACTCGCTGTTGGGGGAAGCACAGAAGAGGCTCTGCTAAGCTGTGGGCTTGGCAGGCAGGGAAGGGTCTGCTGGCTCCTCCTACCACATCCAAGTCCTTTGAGAGCAACATTCCCTGAAGGCTGACCCCTCTGTAACTTTAAAAAAAAAATTTGTAGGCTAGCTGCGGTGGCTTCATCTGTAATCCCTGTACTTTGGGAGGCCGAGGCAGGTGGATCATCTGAGGTCAGGAGTTCAAGACCAGCCTGACCAACATGGAGAAACCCCATCTCTACTAAAAATATAAAATTAGCTGGGCATGGTGGCACATGCCTGTAATCCCAACTACTTGGGAGGTTGAGACAGGAGAATTGCTTGAACCCGGGAGGCGGAGGTTGCAGTGAGCCGGGATTGCACCATTGCACTCCAGCCTGGGCAACAAGGTGAAACTCTGTCTCAAAAAAAAAAAATGTGTAGAGATGGGGTCTTGCTATGTTGCTGAGGCTGGTTTTAAACTCTTGACTTCAAGCGATCCTCCTGCCCTGGCCTCCCAAGTAGCTGGAACTACAGGTGTGAGCCACCACGCCTGGCTATCCTGCTCACCAGAACTCACCAGTGTCACTCTGGAGACTCAGGACTTTGTCCAAGGTCCAAGAGGCTCCCTGAGAATCACTCTCCCCACATCAATAGGTGTATTTGCAGCTTCTTTGAGGGACAAACAGAATGGCAATATATCCCAAATAACAGCCCTGAGTGTTAGGGCAATCAAGTCACAAGTCAAGATGGATCACAGGCCAGGCACGGTGGCTCATGCCTGTAATCACAGCACCTTGGGAGGCTGAGGTAGGAGGACTGCTTGAGCACATGAGTTCGAGACCAGCCTGCCCAATGTATCAAGAGCTTATCTCTACAAATAATACACTTAGCTACTTGAGAAGCTAAGGCAGGAGGATTGCTTGAGCCTAGGAGTTTGAATCTGCAGTGAGATTGTGCCACTGCACTTGAGCCTGGGAGACAGAGTGAGACCCTGTCTCACTTCCCACCCCTCCCCAAAAAAAGGAATGATAAAGGTCATGGTAAAGAACTATGATAAAGATGATAAAGAACTAGAACCAAGAACTATGAGAACAGGGAAGGCCTGGCACCAGACTGAGACTGTGCTGGCTCAGCCCCAGTCCTCCCCAAACGTTCCATCATCTCTCATTTGATCTGTGTGGGTTTTTTGTTTTTGTTTTTGAGACAAAGTCTCACTCTGCCACCCAGGCTGGAGTGCAGTGGTGCAATCTTGGCTCACTGTAACCTCTGCCTCCCAGCAGATGTTATTTCAAGCGATTCTCCTGCCTCAGCCTCCCAAGGAGCTGGGATTACAGGTGCCTGCCACCACATGAGCTAATTTTTTGTATTTTTGATAGAGATGGGGTTTCACCATGTTGGCCAGGCTGGTCTCAAACTCCTGACTTCGGGTGATCCACCCGCCTCGGCCTCCCAAAGTGTTGGGATTGCAGGTGTGAGCCACCACACCCAGCCAGATCTCTGTAATTTGAGTCTCTCCTGCCTCATCTCCTCCACTGAGCTCCGTCCTGGGGCCTTTCCCCAGGGATCCTAGAGAGGGATGGCTCTCATACCCCTGCTGCCTGGAGCTGCACGGGGTCTGTGTGTCTCCGATGCATGAGGGCCGTATTCATTTCACTGCCCAGGCCAGCACCACAGTGCCCATCATTTATGTCAAGGCTGCCTCCTCGGCGTTCCTGGAAACATACAACAGAAACTGGTCACCTCACTGCCAGGATATCTCCCACAGGCTCCCCCAGTGTCTTGCTCAGATGCCATCCACACAGCCGGTATATTCTAGGAATACTTACTGATGATGACAATAAAACCTCCATGCTAGGGGGAGGAGGACCTAAGGTCTAAAGGGACCTTAGATTCCAAAGGCAAAGAAGGCAAAGGTGGGTTTTACTTATTCAGTCTAAAAATATTTATCAGGTATCTACCATGTGTCCAGTAGCAGACACAAGGGAAATATAGCTGGAAAGAGAAGGTCTCTGACTTCACAGAGCTTCCATATAGAGGAGGAACCACGCACATTTAAGTGGTAAGTGAGCAGAGAGAAGAAATGTCTACATCTGCCTGGGAAATCAAGGAAGGCCTCACAGAGGAGGTGATGCTTGAACTCTAGCTTAAAGGAGGAGTAGGACTGGCCAGGAAGGGGCTCACCAGGCAGAGGAATCATGTAAAATGCCACAAAGGCATGAGAGGAAACGCAATAGACCATTTGGGTAACTAAGGTAGTGTGGGGTTGCTGGAATGTGTGTTTGCACGGGGATTCAGGTGGGGGGGCAGGTAGCAGGAATGAGGCTGGGGAAATAGATTCTGGCAGCTCACAAAGGACTTTGCACGCCCTGCTAAGGAATTTATGAATGATGTTATCTCGCCGTATTGTCCACCTAAGTAAGCGGCCTGAAAACCCATTGGGAACAAGTCAGGGGACAGATAGATAGATAGATAAATAAATAAACAAGGCTCCGTTATGCATATTAAGTCTTTCTTTCTTGTGGATCTCCACAGCCAGATGGGTTAAGGGGCATGAATAGATTTGGAATTGTGCTGATAGGAAAATGAAGCAATTGTTCAGAGTCCTCTGGAGGCGGGGGGGGGGGGGGGGGGGGGGGGAGAGAGAGAGAGAGAGAGAGAGAGTGTGTGTGTGTGTGTGTGTGTGTGTATGTGTGGCTGGGCCAGGTCTGGAGGGGAGGCAGGTTCTCCTTCTCACTGGACTGTGCCCGCTGCCTTCATTCCAGACACCTGGTGGAAATGGTGGTGCTGCAGATACCGCTGCTGTGGTGGCTGGGGCGCTGGGGCATACTGCGGAGGCTGCGGCTGGTGCTGCTGCAGGGGAAGGGTCGGGGGGTGATCTGACCCCTTCCGGTTCATCGAAGGCCGGATTTCTTCTCCCATAGCCCCACTGAAGTGTGGGCCTCCCTGGGACCTGCGGTCCAGGCTGTTGCCCCGGCGACCCTGGGAGAGAAACAGAGATGATGCAGATGCATCCTCCTCTCTGATCTTCTGGCTCTGCCCTACCCTCGGGCAGTTGTTCTCAGACCCTGCTCATCATGTCCCCATCCTGGTGGGGTGGGGACAGCTGAAAGAATTGATGCTTCAGACCTTTACATTTTCCAAAGTGGCCTCTGCATTCTTGGATCCTCCCAGTTTTAGGAATTCAGGTCTGGGGTTCACAGACTAACATTTTCTGCCTGGTAGCTATTTAGGCAATTTCCAGGGGTGCTTGTTTTTCTCTGTGTAATCAAGCTGAAATATTCCATTTTACTGACAGAATGCCACCCCTTCTTATCACATGCTGCCACAGGGCTGGACATCCTACCTTCTAGATAAGCTCCACTGTTGACTTTGCATGATTTTAAACTGTCATTTATAGCCTGGTGATAGAGACCCAAACAGCAACATTTTTGCAACACCATGGGAACCAGGGCTGCAGCTGGGCATGGTGAAAGAAGCAAGGCCTTTCTCCCTAATGTTACAACAGAAATACCCTATTGTTATTTTCATGTAACAAACAATCACATAGGGCCCTGGGCATAGTATATACCAGGCACTCTTCTAAACGCTTTACAATTATCAACTCATTTAATCCCGTTTAATGCAATTTGATACTGCTTCTCTTATCTCTGAATGCAAGTCCTAGTGAGTTACTCTGTCCATTTCCTAGTTAGAGTGATTCACAAGGTCTGGGCTAACCTTTGTTTTCCTTTTTGAAGTTCTGTGTGCATTTGGTGGGAACTTCTTTCCTCCTTTGGCAGTAACTTCTCAGGCTTGCCTTTCTTGAAAAGGAGGATTTTGACTTCCCCAAAGCACACATTGCTTTCATGGTCTTAATGCCTTTTCAAATAACCTGTCCCTAGGATTTCAGCTTATTCTAGTGCACGCTTCTTCCTGTGATACCTGTCTCTTATAACCATGTTATTTCTTTTGAAAAATAGTTTATAAATTGGTATGTGTGTGTTTACATGTGTGTGTGTGTGCATGTGTGAATTTACTTATGGAGGCAAGTTAACATTTTCTTTTCTTTTTTCTTTTTGGGACAAGTCTCACTCTGTCAACCAGGCTGGAGTGCAGTGGCGTGATCTCGGCTCACTGCAACTTCTGCCTCCCAGATTCAAGCGATTCTCCTGCCTCAGCCTCCCGAGAAGCTGGGACTACAGGCTCACGCCACCATGCCCAGCTAATTTTTGTATCTTTAGTCAAGACAAGGTTTCGCCATATTGCCCAGGATGGTCTGGATCTCTAGATCAGCTTAGTATCCACCCACCTTGGCCTCCCAAAGTGCTGGGACTACAGGTGTGAGCCACCGCGCCTGGCCAAGTTAACATTTTCTTAGTGCTTAGAATGGACCAGACTCTGGTAGTACTTAACTGTATTACCTCATTTAATCCTCACAACAGTCCAGTGAGGGAGGTTTTATTGTTCTCTCCACTCTACAGATGAGAAAACTGATACTCAGAAGGTTTCTTAACTTGGCTAGGTAATACAAGTAGCTAAGCGATTAAATCAGGATTTCATACCAGGTCTGTCTGATGCATTTTCTTTTAAAGCAATACTCTGTGTTGCAAACAGTTCCAACAGCAAGAATTCCAAGTGCAGATTTCTCCTTGTGTCCTCCCCACCCCCAATCCTATCATCACACTCAACCTGCTATTTAATCCCCGGACCCTAGGCTGTTCCTTAATGCCCTTGTCTGTTGCACCCCCAACTCCTTCATCCTTGGGCAACTCTTACGCTCGGTTGAAAACTATGGTGTAGCAATGTCTACAAATAACAAAAAAATAGCACCTGTGGCTGGGCATGGTGGCTCACGCCTGTAATCCCAACACTTTGGGAGGCAGAGACTGGTGGGTCATGAGGTCAGGAGTTCGAGACCAGCCTGACCAACATGGTGAAACCCCGTCTCTACTACAAATACAAAAATTAGCCAGGCGTGGTGGTTTGCGCCTATAGTCCCAGCTACTCAGGAGGCTGAGGCAGGAGAATCACTTGACCCTGGGAGGCAGAGGTTGCAGTGGGCCAAGATTATACCACTGTACTCTAGCCTGGGAGACAGAGCAAGACTCCATCTCAAAAAAAATAAAATAAATACATAAAAGAAAACCCAGCACCTGCGGTGGGAGCTGATGTTTGTCTAGTGCAGTATGGTGAGGAATAACAGGAAGCATGAGACACATCATCTTCTCCCACCTTCGTAGTCACCTGGGAGGTAGATATTACCATTATCCCTATTTTATGGATGAGGAGGCTGAGGCTCAGACAACTTCCAAAGTCACACAACTGGGAAGTGTTGCACTCAGAGTTCAGAGTTCTGTCTTTCAGTCTACTGAGAGGATCTGCCCCGCCCATGCATTTTTCCTGGTGGTTTGAGTCAGAACTCAGGCTGCCTAAACTCTCTGGATTGGGGTTGATCGGGACCTGGAACATACCTGGTCTTCTCGGGTTCTGTCTCTGAGGAAGATCTGCTTCTGTTTGGAGATAGAGGTTGTCCTGTAGTAGTCCACCAGCTTATTTAGGGAGGGGAACTTCTCCGTCCATAGGAAGTAACTGCCCTTATTGTCTCGCATGACCTTGAAGTGTTGAACGTCATCCTCATGCCTGGAGATCAAGGCAAAGAAACTGTATGTTATACTATGATGATGTCCCTGCCTCCAGGCTGCTTGCATCTGGGATGCAGCTCTCTTTGGGAAGGAGATGTAGATTTGGATGACTCCCTCATCACCAGGCAGGTGGGCCAGCCCAGTCAGGCTTCAGCAGGAGCTTTGTAGGATGAACCACTTAGGATACAAGCTATGATAGAGGGGATTTACATCAGAAGAAGGTAATGAGATGAGCTAAAATTTGTCTTGGACACTGGAACTAACCTTTAACAAGAAAAGCATGTTCCAAGTGTTGTAACGACTGAGAGATCAAAGACCTTTTCACAATGTCTATTTGCAAAATCTCAGTGTGGGTATTTCAAGCTCCTATTATCTTTCTGTTACCAGAGTACTTTGAACCACTTCCTTTAAGCTCATAAACCAGCACTGGCAGGTAAGAAGCTACTCTCTTCCCTAAGAAATATGTCACATTTGTTCTCTATGTAGTAAGAATCTCTTGATCTTGGTTTATGTTTTGCATAAATAAGGTTACAAAGCATTTTCAGCTTTTGGGGAAAATAGCTTTGTATGAAATCAGAGGTTTTAAATGTTTCTTTTCTTTTTTTTTTTTTTTAGACAGAGTCTCACTCTGTTGCCCAGGCTGGAGTGTAGTGGTGCGATCTTGGCTCATTGCAACCTCTGTCTTCAGGTTCAAGTGATTCTCCTGTCTCAGCCTCCTGAGTAACTGGGATTACAAGCGCCCACCCAATGCCTGGCTAACGGCTAACTTTTTCATAGTTTTAGTAAAGATTGGGTTTAACCATGTTGGTCAGGCTGGTCTTAAAGTTCTGACCTCTGGTGATCCACCCACTTTGGCCTCCCAAAGTGCTAGGATTACAGATGTGAGCCACCATGCCGGGTAGAATGATCAGAGTTTTAATTGAAAAGGATCTTGGAGATTGTTTAGCCTTACTTCTCCATTTCACAGATGAGAACACTGAGAGGACTCAGAGAGGCCCAGGGTTGAGGCCAGAACCCCTGAGTCTCTGACTCCAGTCTAGTGAGCTTGGCCTGTGATAATGTCTTTTAGATCAGCACCTTTTGATACCAGTTTAGATTCACAAGTGATGGGACACGTGTGAAGCAGGGCTAGAGAAAATGGATTTCATCTATCTAGGAAGGGTGGGCTGAGCCTTTACCATTATTAGATCCAGTATTACTTCATTGCCAAGTCATTCTCTTTTGGAAGTAAGTCTGTTTTTCAAACAGTCATACATTTATATCTAAAAATAAATTGGCACTAGTGATGCCAACTGCCTGATAGAAAAGAAAGGTTAAGGATTTTAAAGGGTCTCAGAGAATAAAGATACCTCTGAGAGTAAGTGGAGGTTTCTTAGGGATGGATTTATGGATCTGTGTTAAAAAGGAGATGGAAATTCTGACCCTCAATCTCATCTTATGTGCTGGGATTTGCTCATAGCGGGGTGAAGCCAAAGGTTGTACAAGTGGCCTCTGGCTTGACTGATTTGGGGTGGTAATCAATACATCACAATCACTGCGTAGGCTTCCCTTTGGTTTTTGGCCACCAATAGATACTTTCTTCATTCTAAGACAACGTGGCTCAACTCAAAGTCATTACCCTTCACATCTGGGTCAGGAGGAGGAAATATACTTGTGATATTATAATTTATTCATCCACCACCTCATAGTCAAAGAACTCAGAGTGTGAAACACTGCCCCTTTTACTCTGATGAGCTGTAAAGATGGATGTGAGGGTTGTAATTGGTCATCTGGGTCTACAAGGAGAGGCCTGACCACTGTCTCAAGCCTGAAGAGGAACAGAGGAAAGGATGCGATTCAGGGCAATAGACTCTGAAATCTAGTGGTTTAGGCCCTTAACAAATGCAGAGTGATAGAACTACAATTAGCTCTTAATTATCTGTGCCCATGACAGATGTAAAAATAATTAACAATGATTTTGCTTTGGAATATATTATACTACATTTCTGTAGAAGATGTGATAATGATTATGGTAATTGCCACCAGAACTAGAAGCTTCATTGCCTCAATATCAGGGGAAGACTTTGGCAGAAGTCAAGGCTGTTTTGTAAAATTCATTTTAATAAAGGAAATATAAACCATAGTTTCAGGGTCGGGTGTGATGGCTCATGCCCGTAAGCCCAGAACTTTGGGAGGCCAAGGCGGAAAGATCACATGAGGCCAGGAGTTCAAGACAAGCCTGGACAACATGGCAAAACCCCCTCTCTACTAAATCCCTACTCACAGACACAAATTAGCTGTGTGTGGTGGTGCAAACCTGTGGTCCCAGCTACTGGGGAGGCTGAGGCATAAGAATCGCTTTGAACCTGAGGGTGGAGGTTGCAGTGAGCCAAGACTGAGCCACTGCATTCTAGCCTGGGTGACAGAGCGAGACTGTCTCAAAAAAAAACAGAAAACCCCACAAAAACCATAGTTTCTAGCTGAAAAAGTCAGAGTCATCTTCATACAAACCAAAGGCCCAAGAGATACCCCTCAGTCTAACAAATTACTTGGTCAAGTTTATAATGGGGCAGAGAGGGGAGTCTTAAGAAATAGATTTGACTTGGGCCGGGCGTGGTGGCTCACACCTGTAATCCCAGCACTTTGGGAGGCTGAGGCAGGTGGATCATGAGTTTAGGAGTTCAAGACCAGCCTGGACAATATGGTGAAACCCTGTCTCTACTAAAAAGACAAAAATTAGCTGGGTGTAGTGGTGTGCACCTGTAGTCCTAGCTACTCAGGAGGCTGAGGCAGGGGAATCACTTGAACTCGGGAGGTGGAGGTTGCAGTAAACTGAGATCGTGCCACTGCACTCCAGCCTGGGGGACAGAGCAAGGCTCCATCTCAAAACAAAAAAAAAATTTGACTTGTAATATATATACATACATGTTAAATATATGTATAACTATTTTTTTCTAACAATATATGTACATAATTACTTTTTCTTTTGAGACAGGGTCTTGCTCAGTCACCCAGGCTGGAGTGCAGTGGCACAATCTCGGCTCACTGCAGCCTCAATCACCGATGCTCCAGCAATCCTTTCACCTCAACCTCCCAAGTGGTTGGGACCACAGGCATGTGCCACTGCACTGGGTTAATTTTTTATTTTCAGTAAAGATGAGGTCTTGCTATGTTGCCCAGGCTGGTCTCCAACTCCTCAGCTCAAGCAATCCTCCCACCTCAGCCTCCCAAAGTGCTGGGATTACAGGGATGAGCCACCTCGCCGACCTTGACTTGTAATATAGTTAATGGAGCAAAATTTCATTAATGAAGACTAACAAGATTAGAATTTGGGATACACCAGTATTGGCCTGAACTAAACATTACCATTCCCCAAGCTATAAAAAGGAAGTTTTTCTTGAGGAAAATTAAGAGTTTAAGCAAGATTGCAAGCGCAATGCTGAAGAGACCACTGTAAAGTTATGCAAGCGTACAGATTGCTGACTTGTTAGTCTTTCCTATCTATGCTTTAAAATATCCATTCTTTCTAAATAGCACAGTGGCCATGGTTTATTACCTGAGATTGGATTTCTGTACTAAAAACAAAAAGGAAAAGCTGCATGCCTTTCAAAATACATTGAATCAACCAGATCGCTATTTCCTGTCAACTTGGTAGTAAGGCTTTACTGTACTTCTCCCGATCTGCTAACACCATTACATTCTCGTAGTTTCACATGTGGTCAAGTCTGATAGGTGACTTGTGATCCCCAACATGCTGACCACACACAGTGCGTTTGGAGTTGGGCTTCTGGTTTAGGGCTGTGTAATGTCTACATGTGGACTGAGCCACTTCCTACTGGGTGCTGCCTCTGAGTGAGGCTTCCTGTTACAGTCCTCCCGCGCTCCTGGCCTTCCTTGGCTCTGTTCTGCTGTTTTCGCTTTTGCTGTACGCTGTACTGTGTTGAAGTAGCCTTTCTTTTTATTCAGCTGCCAACAACTAACTACACATGGATTTGCTGGGGCTCAGAAAACGACACCCCTTGGCATGCTGAGTGCTTCGAACCAAAGGAGACTGTAAGGCTTCAGAAGCAGCCTTGGAAGCAAAGTCTACCTTTGGGGTTCTCCTGCCCTCCTGTCTCCTGCTCCTCTTTCTCCCCCAGAGTGAGTCAGAGAAATTAGAATTCCTCTTCTTCACAGTGGGTTAGAGAGGCTAGAAGGGTCACTGTGGGGGAGGCCAAGGCAGGAGGATTGCTTGAGCCCAGGAGTTTGAGACCAGCCTAGGCAACATGGTTAAGACCCAGCCTCTACAAAAAAATAAGTAAAAAAAATTAGCCAGGTGTGGTGGTGTGTACCTGTATCCCCAGCTGCTCAAGAGACTGAGGTGGGAGGACTGTTTGAGCCTGGAACATGGAGGCTGTGGTGAGCCATGACTGCACCACTGCACTCCAGACTGGGCAACAGATAGAGACCCTATCTCAAAAAAAAAAAAAAAAAAAAAAAAGAAGACTTGGGACAGGCCTTGCCCAGTTTCCCACCTCAGTCTGTTACCTTAGATCAAACCCCCTTTGTCCAATCCCATTTCTACAGGGCTATCTATCCTTCATTTAACCTAAGCATAAAAATAGATGGCTTTTCCTGGGTCTTGGGTCTACATTTTTGAAGGATTCTGTGTCACATGAATCTTTGATTAAATAAATTTGTTCACTTTCCTCTTGTTAACCTGTCTTTTGTGGGAGTGTCAGCTGTGACTCTTCTGATGGGCGAAGAAAGGTACCACACCTATTCCGCCCCTGTATCTCCTACAGCAATGACTTGAGATTTCTATTTTTCCCTGACTCTTCTTCAGATATGCATCAATCGTAAAAGAAAAGGTTAAGATTTAAACCCCCAGATGGATGTGGACAAGTGGGAGTTGTCCTCCTCCTTCCCCTCCTTCCTGCCACAAATACTCACTGAGTGTCTCTATTTCGTGCAAGACACTGTTAAAGGCATAAAGATGAAGTAGAGGAAAATCCTGCCCTTCCAGAAGCACCTGGGATAGAAGGGAGGCAGATGGGCGTAGAAATCATTTTGAACACACACCAGTGTGCTAAAGAGTGGTGTATGCATGTTCTGGGAAGGTTGTGAAGCTGCTGCCATGCTTGGCCCATTGGCCACCATGCTTCTGATCACTAGGTCATGTTCCAGAGGTCACTTCAGCATTCTGGGAGGTTAACAGGCAGAGAAGGGCCAATGCGGTGTCAGGAATGATCAGTACCTGACAGAGATGGAGAAGTCCCCTGGGGAGCTCTGGCTGGCCCGGATGATGAAGAAACCAACCTCCTTGCCCATGAGTAAGTTCTCTGCCTGGTGTCGAGAGAGGCCTTCGTGAAACCATCTGTGGGACGAGATCAAACTAGAGGATTAGGGTGAGACACAGGAGTGACAGGAGGGAGACGTGGAGAAGAGATGACCCAGAGAGAAAGAGGCTGGGTACTCTGTACAGTAGGGAGCAGAGAGAGACTAAAGAGGGACCAGGTGCTTTCTGAAATCAAACCAGTGCTCCAGGTGGCTTTCAGGAAAGGCGAGGGAGCATTCACCTTGACTCATCCTCTTTGTTCCTTCTCTCCAGAAGTCTCCAGCCTGGGAAACGAATCACGGAAATGTGTCGCTGCACCAAAATGGGGCAGTGTGGGAGTGACTCACTGCAGGAAGCAGCCGCCTGCTGGCAGCTGTGGAAGAGATAGACCAGAGCTGCAGGGACACAGGATGCACCCAGGAGGGAAGGGGCTGCTTCAGGCACTGGGGCCAACCAACCACAGGTGCAGCCGGCTGAGCAGGGCCTGGGGTGCTTATGCTCACACTGGGGCCTCAGTGGTACAGAGGCTCCTCCCTGGGCATTAAAGGAGAGTTATAGGGCAGGACGTCATGTTGCCTGGGCTGGCATGGAGCACAAGGGGGCTGTGCTCAGTGCGCCTAGCAGAGGCTGCAGTGTTCCTAGGGAGCCCAATGTACACGCTTAGAAAGGAATGAGGCTGGCAGCAGCCAGAGAGCAGCGTCTATACAACCAGATCCTGGGCCCGCCCCAAAAAATCCAGGCTGGGAAATAATCTTTACTATGGAAAAGAACAAACAGGAGAAACTGCTCTTTCAGCGGAACGGTCAGGGTGGCAGCTCCTGGAAGTACAGCTGCACACAGTGTGGCACGTATGAAATAGGTCAAACGCTTACACAGAGCCAGCAAGCTGTGGCTGCAGCCTCAAGGCAGGAGGCCAGAGACCTCTCTTGACCACAGACAAGCAAAATGAGTGCCTGCAATCATTCGGCGGCCAAAGGTGGGACTGTGTCACATTGCTTCAAGGTGGCTGCTCTAATTGCTGCCATCAGAAGGCTCATACGCATGTTCCTTTAGCTTTGGTCAGGCCTTGGCTTTGGATTCCTTTGTGAGCAATTCTCTGTGCTTTCCAGAGTTTGGAAATCTGAGACAAGGGTAGCAGGGAGGATGTATTTATTGGAGACTTGGGACTGAGGGGAAAGGTTGGCTGTGCTCTGAGGGGGCTGAAAGCAGTTTCTGGTGGCCTGGAGATTCTGCCTGAGTATTTGCCACGCAGTTCTACAGGGTTAAATAAGAGAACACCACACATACCACCGCCACGCGAAGGAAATGTAATGGGGATGGGAGAAGGAATGGGGCATGCGCCACCGCAGCCATATTGCAAAGGAAATATTTTAGAAGTGAAGGGGATTTAGGAAATACACATTTGTCCTCTGACTGAAATCTAATAGGGGGCTTCTTTCAAGATTTGTAAAAATTACCACATATTGCATATTAGACATGAGTGGCCATGGTTTCAATATCATTCATTCATTCATTCATTCAGCTTTGTTGAACATTTGGTACTGTGCTGGGCCCTCTCCCGGGCACTGGGGACATGGTAGTGGGCAGAACAGACACACACACCCCTGCCTTCAGGGAGCTTACTTTCTAGTCAAGGGGGACACACAATAAAGAACAAAATAATTAAGATCTGTAGTGTTTCAGATGATGGTAAGTGCTGTGGAGAACATGGAAACAGAGAGGGTGGATGAGGTGCTGGGGGTGGGAGATTAATGTAAGGTATGGTGATGAGAAAGACCTTGCTGAAAAGGAGACATTCTAAACCTATAGGGGATTGGGGAGTGGGAGGAATCAGCACAAGATACTGAGGAGGAGTGGCCAGGGCAGTGGGAGGACAACCAGAGGAAGGATGTCCTGGAGCCAAAATGAAGAAGGTATTCCAGTGGGAGGGGGCAATCCCCAGGGCAGATGGTGCTGGCATGGCCCCTGGGAGCTGCAGCACATGGGGAGCCTGGTGGGAAGGGTAGGGAGGTGAGGAGTGGAAATAGCAAATACAAACACTCCTTCTGAAGAACCGGTGTGGCAGCTGGAAGGGGATTTGGGATTAAGAGTTTCCTTGTTTTATTTATTTAAATATTTTGTCTTTGAAACAGAGTCTCGTTCTGCTGCTCAGGCTGGAGTGCAATGATATAATCATGACTCACCACAGCCTTGAACTCCCAGGCTCAAGCAATCCTCCTGCCTCAGCCTCCCTGGGACTACAGGCGCATGCCACCACACCCAGCTAATTAAAAAAAAATTTTTGTGGATATGGGTCTTGCTATGTTGCCCAGGTTGGTCTCAAATTCCTAGCCTCAAGTGATCCTCCTCCCTCAGCCTCCCAAAGCACTGGGATTACAGGCATCAGCCACCACAAAACCCACCTGGCCCCTGAGTTTTGTTTTGCTTGTGTTTTGGTAAATTGGGAGAAATTGTAGCGGGTGTGATTACTGAGAGGAATGATCCAGCAGAGAGGGAAAGAAGGTTGGTGTGGGAGAGAGAGAGGAGAATGTCTGCCAGCTGCAGAAAAGGCTGGCTGAGCACACTTGCAGGAGGCAGGTGAATGTGGTGGGGCTGGGGGTGGGGGATCTGGGAGCTTCACCTCTGGTGGCTTTCATTGTTCCAGAGAACCTGGAATCAAGGCCATGGGCTGAGAGTGATGCCAGGAGGGGCTGGAGGTTTGAGGAGCAGGTGGGGTACGTGGAGGTCCCCTAGCAGGCAGCATTGAGGGCCCCGTCAAGGTCAGTGGTCATTCTCTTAGCTTGGTGGTCCGCACGGTTCACCATGAGTGGTGCTCTTGCACATCACTGGAGTTACCAATACTACTGTGGTTTTCTACAAACTTTTGCTCTTTAAGCCAGACCCTGGTTCTGAGACAAGATTAGATCTCTATCTAACCCTTGTGGTCAATTCTTGAGACAAATGAGGCCCAATCTCCATTTTTCATTTCCTCTTTAGGAAGGGAATTTCCCCTTTCCCCCACTGACTTCTCACACTAGGGTGAGTATGCTTTACTGAAGGCAGGGAGTGTCTGTCTGCCCACAGAGTGAAGGCTGAGAGCCTGGTGAGGATGGTTAGGATTGGGAGGTCACAGAGAAGTGCTTAGGAGAGCAGCAAAGTGGGCGGTCAATATTGCCCGCTTTGGAATTCTAGGGAACCCTGTGATTGAAATTTGAGTTTACAAACTCATTTTATAAAAACTGAAAATAGGCAGGGTGTGGTGGCTCATACCTGTAATCCCAGCACTTTGGGAGGCTGAGGTGGGCGGATCACCTGAGGTCAAGAATTTGAGACCAGCCTGCCCATCATGGTGAAACCCCAACTCTACTAAAAGTACAAAAATTAGCCAGGGGTGGTGGCGTGTGCCTGTAATCCCAGCTACTAGGGAGGCTGAGGCAGGAGAATTGCTTGAACCCGGGAGACCCAGGTTGCAGTGAGCTAAGATTGCACCACTGCACTCCAGCTTGGGCGAAAGAGCAAGACTCCATCTCAAAACAAAACAAAACAACCCAGAACTTAAAATAGGCTGTGCATAGTGGCTCACGCCTGTAATCCCGGCACTTTGGGAAGCTGAAGCAGGCAGATCACTAGAGGTTAGGAGTTTGAGATCAGCCTGGCCAACATAGTGAAATCCTGTCTCTACTAAAAATACAAAATTTAGCCGGGCGTGGTGGCTTGTGCCTGCAGTCCTGGCTACTCAGGAGGCTGAGGCAAGAGGATCACTTGAGCCCAGGAGTTTGAGGCTGCAGTGAGTGGTGATGGTGTCACTGTACTTCAGCCTGGGCAACAGAGTGAGACCCTGACTCACAAAAATAAATAAATAAATAAATAAAAGAAAAGGAAAGAAAAATTTAAAATAGCAATACATGCACATGGTAAAATCAAAAGGGAATGAAATGGCATGCGAAATCTCCCTCCTGCCTTGTCCTTCAGCTGCATGTTCCGGAGGCTCTCCAGAGAGCTCTCCAGAGGCAGCCATTTGTGACAATGTCTTGGGTTCGCATGGATAATTTTAGTGACTGCTGGAAAAGTAAGAGGAGTGTGTGTGGGTAGGCCCATCTCAGCAGGCTGCAAATACTTACTCGGGAAACTGGATGTCTATGAAATTCTTGGGCACATATCCTTCCTGGCTCCCAAGCTCCGCCTTAAACCACTCCTCTTGGTTACTTAAAATCTACATGGAAGAAAAGGAACGACAAAGACGTTGCAGGGAGGACACCAAAAAACAAGAGAAAAAGGGGCTGCAGGGTAAAGAAAGCCCTTTGGGACTCAGAGGAAAATACTAGGTTAATAAGTGGAAAGAAAAGAACGCTGTTCTAGGATTTACCCCAGGCCCGTGGAGGAGCCGTGGGTTTACCTTTGGAGTTTGGCTTCTCCTGACTGCAAGTTATTTCTGTCCACTTGTGGCTTCCACTCAGGTCACCCCGCTGTGGCTTCAGGACTACCCTGAATCCCTTCTTCAATTTTGGAAACTCGTTTGTCCCAGGTCTTAGCACCTTAAGTTCCTCATCTGAGCAGATGGTGGGAAGGCAAGAATGGCTACTCATTGTTGTTGTTTTTTTTTTTCCCCCTCTTCTAGGTAACCAGGAAACTTTTCAAAAATTTAATTTTTTGTTGCTGTTGTTTTTGAGATGGGAGTTTGCTCTTCTTGCCCAGGCTGGAGTGCAATGGTGTGATCTCAGCTCACTGCAACCTCTGCCTCCCAGGTTCAAGCAATTCTCCTGCCTCAGCCCCCCGAGTAGCTGGGATTATAGGCATGTACCATTAAGCCCAGACAATTTTGTATTTTTAGTAGAGATGGGTTTTCACCATGTTGGCCAGGCTGGTCTTGAACTCCTGACCTCAGGTGATCCACCTGCCTCTGCCTCCCAAAGTGCTGAAATTACAGGCATGAGGCACTGCATGAGGCCCTTTTTTTAAAAAAAATTGTTTTTAGATGGAGTTTTGCTCTTTGCCCAGGCTAGAGTGTAGTGGTGTGATCTTGGCTCACTGCAACCTCTGCCTCCTGGGTTCAAGTGATTATCCTGCCTCAGCCTCCCAAGTAGCTGGGACTGCAGGCACACACCACTATGCCGGGCTGATTTTGTATTTTAGTAGAAATGGGGTTTCTCCATGTTGGTCAGGCTGGCCTGGAACTCCTGACCTCAGGTGATCTGACCACCTCAACCCCCCAAAGTGCTAGGATTACAGGCGTGAGCCACTGCGCCTGGCCAGGTTTTTGTTTTTTAAACAGGCAGATTCAAACTTAAACATCCTCGTGGGGCCAGCTTTGAAAACAATAACTCTTTGTCTTCACATGCTGTGTGTTTCACAGGTAGTTTGGCTGGAACTCCAGATACTTGGGATGCCTTTTCTAAACTTGCTTTAAGTTCTGTCTTGTTACTCTGTGGCTTTACCTTCACTGTGACCCCAAATGTTATTGCCTACCTTGGCTACTCACATTACTCACCACACTTGACTGTATGTGGCTCTGGTTTCTCAAAAAATGATATTCACCATTAAAATACAAACATTTTGCACTGCCACTGAGAATGTTTTGAAAGTCTGAGGCCAGGTGTGGTGGCTCACGCCTGTGATCCCAGAACTTTGGGAGGCTGAGGCAGATAGAACACTTGAGGCCAGGAGTTTGATATCGGCCTGTCCATCATGGCAAAATGCCATTTCAACTAAAAATACAAAAAGTAGCCGGGCCTCGTGGAGCACACCTGCAGGAGAATTGCTTGAACCCGGGAGGCTGAGGTTGCAATGAGCTGAGATCACGCCACTGCACTCCAGCCTGGGCGACAGAGCAAGACTCTCTCCCAAACAAAATGTTTTTTTAAGTCTATGACATAGACTAGAACAATAATTCTAAATGAGGATAGCAGAACAAAAGATGGAAAGAACCCTGATAATGTCACAGACCCACTGAATTAGATGACACCTAGGGACCTTTCTACTTCTGGAAGTTAAGACATTACCAGTGTTTGTTATGTTTAAGCCAGTTTTTAGTTTATGTTTCTTGTTCTGAAAATATCTTAACTGATAGAAGTATGATGATAAAGGGGAAAGCAGAAATAGAAAAGGCATCCATATGTGGAGGAGGGACCACTGCATCGGCAATGAAAGGAGTTACTGAGGCCAAGTTAGATGGCAATGGAACTTTCTCCTGCTCTGAGGAGGTGTGGTGCGTTCTGGGAAGGAAATGCCTCCAGGTGGCTGGAATGCAGACTATGAGTCCGGGAGTAGACAGGGGGAAACTAGATACACAGGGCTTTGTAGTCCATGTGGAAAAGTCTGTATTTTCATCTTGAAATATAGGGGGATCCTTAAAAAATTTTGAGCAGGGAACAGTAAGAATTAGAGTTAAGAAAGAACTCTGGGTGTGATGGCTCATACCTGTAATCCCAGCCCTTTGGGAGGCCCAAGTGGGACGAATTGCTTGAGCCTAGGAGTTTGAGACTAGCCTGGACAACAAAGCGAGATCTTGTCTCTACGAAAATAAAAATAAAACTTGGCAAGTCATGGTGGTAGTACACCTGTAGTCCCAGCTAATCAGGAGGCTGAAGCAGGAGGATGGCGTGTGCCCAGGAGTGGAAGGGTATAGTGAGTTATGATTGCACCACTGTACTCCAGTCTGGAAAACAGAGAGAGACTCTGTCTCTAATTAAAGAGAGAGAGAGATTGAGGTTGAGATAGAGAGAGATATATAAAGAAAGCAAATGCTCTGTATCAGAGATCAGAACCTTAAGGCAGATTGGAAGGGTAAAGCCGGGAGAGAAACTAGGAAGATGAGCAGAGCCCCCCAGGCAAGAGATGATGGCATCTGGGCTAAGAAGAGGTGAGGATGTATTTTAGAGAAATTACAGAAGCAAACAGGCATGATTTCTTGACCAATCTTGGAAGTGAAGGGAGAAGAGGATTCTGGGATGCCTCTGGATTTCTGGCTTGGGAGACTGAGTAGGTGGTGATGGCTTTACAAAAATAGAAGATACAGGAGAGGAGGCAGGGCTGAGAAAGGGCTCATGGACTTCAGATTGCACGTGGGTGATTGTGAGTTGAATTCTTCAACTAAGAAGAAAAAGTCAGGGAGCATCTGGATATGTCAGTCTAGACCAAGGAGAGAGGCTGAGATTGGAACCTGGGGTTTCAGAGTCACAAGAAAGTGGGTGGAATTGAAGTCACAGGACCCATGGGTTTCTCTCTCCCAGAAAAGAAGATGGGAAGATGATGGAAAGAGAACTAGGTGCTTGAGCAGAGATGATGACTTCTTTTTTTATTTTGAGATGAAGTTTTGCTCTTTCACCCAGGCTGGAATGCAGTGGCATGATCTTGGCTCACTGCAACCTCTGCCTTCTGGTTTCAAGCAGTTCTCCTGCCTCAGCCTCCTGAGTAGCCGAGATTACTGGGAACAGCATGCCCGCCATCATACCTGGCTAATTTTTGTATTTTTTTTAGTAGAGATGGAGTTGCACCATTTTGGCCAGGCTGGTTTCGAACTTCTGACCTCATGATCCAACCGCCTCAGCCTCCCAATGTGCTGGGATTACAGGTGTGAGCCACTGCGCGTGGCCAATGATGACCTATTTCTAACATCATTCCAAGGTGGAAGGGGACAGTGTTGTGAGTTTGGAATGAGAAGACCTGGTTTCTAGCTTGACTCTGTCACTAGATATGTGATCTTGGCCAAGTCAATTACCCATTTGAAAAATGGAGATAATAATAACCACCTGGCACCTCACAGAGCTGATGTGAGGATCAAATGAGCCCCGGTACCTGAAAGTTCTTCAGAAAGTGTAGACTCTTTAAAAAAAAACTACAATTCCATCAAATGTGATATTCTTATGAGGGAGGCCTCCAGCTCTGAATAGGACATGGAAGGGTTTATACGTTCTTTAAAGCATTATGTGTGTATGTTTTGAATTTAGTCATTTGCTCTGAAGAAATAAAAGTGTGTCCCATATTTGAGTTTGAGATTGCTGAGAACAGAAAACTTTATAGTTTCCAACATCAAATGTGACTGTTGGTGTCACTAAGGACATGTGGGTATGTGTGTGCTGAGGGGGGCAAGGGAGGAAGCAGAAAATCTAGGTCAAAAGAGCTAGGAAACCCAGCGGCAGTACCTCACAGCCACGTAAAGAACACAGAGCACTGCTCTCCACCCGTCGCTCCCGAATTCATGGCTTTGGAATTCCTTTCTCCCATCACATGGGAATGCGGTGTTTGGCCAAGGTAGCAAATATGAAACAGAAAGGGAAAAAGAGGCCATTTGGAAATTGGCTTATCACCGTAATAACCACACCTTGAGGGTGGGTACCATGGCTCACGCTTGTAATCCCAGCACTTTGGAAGGCTGAGGCAGGTGGATCACCAGAGGTCAGGAGTTTGAGAGAGGCCTGGACACCATGGCAAAACCTGATCTCTACTAAAAAGACAAAAATTAGCCAGGCATGGTGGCACAGGCCTGTAATCTCAGCTACTTGGGAGGCTGAGCCACGAGAATAGCTTGAACCCAAGAGGGAGGTTGCAGTGAACCAAGATGGCACCACTGCACTCCAGCCTGGGTGACAGAGTGAGACTCTGTCTCAAAAACAAACAAACAAACAAACAAACAAAAACACACTTTGTACTTTGTTTTCTGACCTGAAAGTAGCTCTGTAATTTTAGTCGCCATACCTCAGACCTCCTCTAGAAAGTGAAGATGATGCCACATGCAGCCATTTCTCCCCACCACCTCGTGCCTGGTCTACCTAACATTGTGTTTCTAGAGAGGTGAATTGACAGGCTTTTTACTGTGTATAGAAGGTGAAGTTTTTTTTTTTTTTTTTTTAAATACTCATTTTCTGCAAAGAAAGGTATTTGAGGGGAGGGGGAGATGGCTTCCTCCTGCCGTTGCAGGCCCAGGGCCCCGTACTTCCTGTTCTTCTCATCTTTCCATCTATTCGGTTCCCCCTATCTCATGTACACATCATCTAAACCTGAGTTAGGCGTTCAGCCTGAACACTTGAAGTTTTACTCTTAACTTTACTGTATCTTAATTCTGATAATGTTCCCTAAGAGATGATTTTCTGGGTTACGTGGCCTGAGAATAAGTTAGACGTGGGAAGAGAAGGGCCAAATTACGGCTGGAAGAATTTTTAAATTGGATGAAATTGTAGCTTTTAGAAGCATAGCAGAAATCTGAAGAATTCAAGAAGCAAATTACGTAGAATTAACTCTTAGGGCTTTTAGGTTGCTATTTTAGCAGGAAGAAACAAGGTTGAATTAGATGCATTATAGAAGGATACAGAAATGGACTGGGTCAAGAGACCTTTTTCAAAGCTACTGGCAAACTTAATGGCAAATCCAAATGTCAGGCTGGTGCTGTGTATAGCTGCAGGTATGGAGGTTTGTGGTATGAACAGGAAAAAAATCTGATTCCTGACTTTTCAAATGTTTCTGTCACAGGAGAAGCAGGATCAAGTCACATGGTGGCATTTCTGTCCACCATCTTGTTTACCATGCCGGGCAGGTCAGCATCTAGTGAGCACCTGCAGATTGCACTCAGGTGCATAATAAGTAAGCTGGGGCCTCTGCTCCAGGAAACTCATGGTCTGTTGAGGGTGGGTGGCTTCTCAGACTTTTTTTGTACCTTTCTAATGAAAACCTCTGTTTAGTCTTTAGCAGAAAAGGCCAAATGAGTCAGAGCATCCCAGAAACGAATTGCTGGGGTAGTGAGGAGCTGGCTTTGAAAGCATTTGTGAGGATCCTGGGCTTATTACCCATAGAGGAAGGTGGGGGCAGACACCGTAATCACGTGTGGGGAGCCCCAGGCATGGGCACCAACCACAATCCATCAGACATTCTGTAGGGCTCAGTCAGCAAGCCCTACCCATTTTTCTCTTTACCTGCAATGGACAGAACTTGAAAAGAGGTTTTCTGATGGAATTCTAAATAAATAGGAAGAAATGAAATTTAGCAATTCAAGAACTATGTACTGGGCATCTATTTAGGGCCATGATTTGTGTTAGATGCTATAAAGATACAAAGATGAATCTGGCATTGTGTGTGCACACGTATATATTGACACTGATCTCAGGGAATGGAGAGGAATCAAAGCTTCATCCAGTCATCAAGCCGCATCAGGGAGTTCTAGACACAGCTATTCTAGACCTGAGGCAGATACAGCCCCTGCCCTTGCACAGCTTTGGCCAGGGGATTAGACGTGTAAATGAGCAGTCAGGATCCCACGGGGGCAAAGGCAGCAATGAGAGGTGGAAACAGAGGGTGCCTGAGAGCATAGGTCATGGCCTGCGTATAAATAGCTGCCATGTGAGGCAAAGTCCTAAGTGCCTGAGAATGAGTGAAGCTTGTGTGAAATGCTGGGGAGGAGCTGAAGAGGGAGTGATTTGTTTCCCTGGGATGGTAGGGAGTAGGGAGGACCAGTGAGGTTTCCATGGTAAAGGAGGTCAAATATGTGTGTGCGGGGGGAGAGGGGTACTCCGAGTATATAGGGGAGAGGCTGAGAAAGGGCGGTGTACAAATTACAGTGCAACCCAGGGGCATTATGTCCACAAAGATGGCTGTGTATGTGCACACGTGTACATGTGCATGATAACACTGGACAGTGGTTTGGGGCCAGATGTTTTCGATTTCAATCAATCAGTAATTGCAACCCCCTGAATGCTTTTGAGCAAGGAAATGATATGATCTGATTTGTCTGGAAAGATCCCTCTGGGAGTAGTATGTAGAATGAGTGAAAGAGGAAAAAGACGGGAGGAAATGAGGTCAGTAAAAGAGCTGTGGCAATGATCTGAGCAGTCAGAGGCAGCACGGACAGATAACCTCGGTAATTCGGGCTACCATTTATTGGGTGTCTGAGTTGGGCCAGAGTCATCACCTCAAATCCTCCCCACAATCCGGCAATACAGAAACTACCTCCACTTGCTGAGGAAGACACTAAAGCTCAAACAGGGACAGGTGACTGGGCCCCATGACTAAGAAGCTGGATTCAAACTCAGATCCATCTGACCCAAAGTCTGTGCTCCTTTTTACTGCCTCACACTCTTTCCTGGTGAAGAAGGGACTTGCTTGAGAGATATGAGGAAAAAATATATTCAGAGCAGAGTTTAGTGCTTAGGAGTCAGACAGAGTTCTGTCCAGGTCCTGGAATGGTCACATTCTAGCTGTGTGACCTTGGACATGTGATTTAATCCCTAGCCTCAGTTTCTCATCTGTGAAATGGAGGGGAAATGAATGTCTCCCTCATAGGTTTGCTGAGATGAGGAAATCATGTCTCCTGCAAACCACTTAGCTGCATCCTGACCCCGAACAGGAGCTCAGGAGATGTTGGTTACAGGTCACTAGAATTTGGTAAGGGAGGCACTGATGATAACTGGGGCTTCTAGCTTGTGACTGACCTAGGATAATACTTAGAACATGGATAGAAGAGTGGCTTTGGGTGGAAGTGGGGGTGAGATGGATGTGGGGGTTTCAGTGAATCTGGGCATCCTGAGTTATGGGCCGGAGTTCCTGTGGGGACATCCAGCAGACAACTGGAAGTCTGGGTCTGGAGTTCAAGAACAAGGTCAGAGTTAGAACACGAGCCATAGATTTGAGGGTCTTTGGCACAGTGGTGATAGTTGCAATCGGAGAAGTGGACGAGATGGCTCAGAGTGAGAAGAAAAATCAGAAAGCCAAAGACAGTACCTTCAGGGAGGTGTGTATTTCAGGATTGAGAGAGGAAAAAGAACCCTTGGAAATAAGACCTGTAGGAGTGCTGAGGAAGGGAGGAGAAGAACCCAGAGAGGGTGGTGCCATCAGAGCCAGGGAGAAAGGGGCTTCCAGGAGAGGGCCGGTTAGCAGTGTCAGTCCCACAGACAAACGTTTCCATAGGGTCTTATACTACATGTTAAGGAGATCACTGGTGAACTTCAAGAGAATGTTGAGGGGAGGATAAAAGGCAGATTTCAGAGGGTTGCGGAATGAGTGGGAAGTGAGGAAGTAGAGTGCGCCCAGTGTAGAGAATTCTTCCCAGTATTAGCAATGAAGGAGAGGAAAGAAATCAGGAGCAGAGTTGAACAAAGTTTTTTCTTTTTTTCCTTTCCTTTTTCTTTTTCTGGGGAATAGAGAAAACTTAAGTAAGATACCAGGCTCGGCCGGGCGCGGTGGCTCACACCTGTAATCCCAGCACTTTGGGAGGCCAAGGCAGGTGGATCACGAGGTCAAAAGATCAAGACCATCCTGGTCAACATGGTGAAACCCCGTCTCTACTAAAAATACAAAAAAATTAGCTGGGTGTGGTGGCGCGTGCCTGTAATCCCAGCTACTCGGGAGGCTGAGGCAGGAGAATTGCCTGAACCCAGGAGGCGGAGGTTGCGGTGAGCCAAGATCGCGCCATTGCACTCCAGTGCAATGTAACAAGAGTGAAACTCCGTCTCAAAAAAAAAGATACCAGGCTCTTTTTGCCATGGAAGATGAGGGTGGAAGTTGGTGCCAGGATGCATCAACTTCAGTGGCTGATAGTCATGTGGTGACAGTGCCCCATTAGGAGGCAGCAGCTTCTCACCGCATAGCAAGACCCTCCAGGAGCTTGGTGAGATCCCAAAGCAGTGAAAGACGGCTTCTCCTGGGTCAGCAGGCCCAACTCATATTTTAAGTTTGTGAAGGCCTATGCTTTGCCACCACGTTACTAGATCTTGAAAGTTGTGAGCACTTAGAAGGCTACCTACTGGGCATGTTCATATTCTACAAGAAAGCATTCTGTGTGTTTTGTGCTCCTCAGACACTTTCAGTCACCCTCTCACATGCCAACGAGGTTTTTTTTGTATAACAAACATAATTCTCAGTGGTGAGACACTAATGGCCTCAGTGCCACTGGACATCTGAGAAGGCTCATCAGGGCTGCTGAGGAACAGGGATCAGGCTATCTGAGGGTGCTCTGAGGCCAGGGAGGGGGGCTCTGGCTCCACACACTCCCAAATGGCCTCCCGAAGGGCTTGTGCTCTTTGGCAAAAACTAAAAACCAAAAAACAAAAAAAACAGGGGCTAAGATGCAGAGTCTGAAAGAATGGTGCATGAATGTGGGAGAAGCCCAAGGTCACTTCAGCTCAGTAAGTGGCCACTACAACTCAAGTGCTGGCTGAGGACAAGTTTTAAGCAGCCCCTAAGTGGCCAGGTGTGTATGGCCTTTGTTGAGCCTCATCCTCTGTGACTGCCTTTCCCAAGCTGTCTCCACCCACAGCCTCTCCTGAGTTCCAGCTCTGCTGAGCCTTGCGCTGCTCCCTGAATTTAGCATGGGCTTGCACATATGTGAGCTTTAGCTAAAAGCCCAACTCACCTTCAGTGCATTCCTGACATTCACATTGCACACACTCCTACAACCCCTATCTTTTTTTCTATTTTTTCTTTTTTTGAGATAGAGTCTCACTGTATCGCCCAGGCTGGAGTGCAGTGGTGAGATCTCGGCTTACTGCAACCTCTGCCTCCTGGGTTCAAGCAATTCTCTGCCTCAGCCTTCCAGGTAGCTGGGATTACAAGTGCCCACCACCATGCCCGGCTAATTTTTTTGTATTTTCAATAGAGACAGAGTTTCACCATCTTGGCCAGATTGTTCTTGAACTCCTGACCCAGTGATCCACCAGCCTTGGCCTTCCAAAGTGCTGGGATTACAGGCATGAGCCACCACGCCTGGCCCAACTCCTATCTTTCAAGAGGGAATCACTTGTTCCCTCACCTGTGCTCCCTGAGAACTTAGCCAAGAACATCTGTAACAGCCCTTTGGGGTGGATGTGTTCCCCTCTCTGGACGACGAACCTCTCAGGACCAGGATGGTGGCTTCTGCCAACTCTGTATTTCTATCACCTGGCCTGGTTGGTGTCTGGTATAAGTGTGCACAAAGGGAATCGAGGTGAACTTCTCTTTTTAAAAGGAAACACAGGCAGTTGTTGAGAGACAGAGGCAGGGACTGTTGGATTACTGAGGAACAGAAACTCCCTATTGCTCCCCTGGGGCCCCACGTTACCTACCTTCAAAACATCTCCAGTGTGAAAGCTCAGCTCATCCTCACCTGAGGCAGTAAAATCAAACTTGGCGACAGCTTCCATGCTGTAATGTGAAGCTGGAAGAGAAATAATGTGGTCATTGTGCCTCTTTGCCAGGAGGAGGACAGCAGAGCCGATGGTGCTTCCTGGCACTCAGCAGTTCCTAGCAGAGTGGGCAGATGGATGTCTCCAGGCTGGAGAGCAAGGCTCGGTGCACAAGGGCTTGTGTTTGCAGGAAGAGCTGCTGGAATCTTCAGGATCTGGGTCCTGGGATCATTCTCTGAATCCCCAGAGAGCAGGAGCAGGAAATGAAGGCCAGCCGCAGCCTTTCCCTTCTCCTTTCATCTCCTGGCCTGACACCACTTCTGGGGGCATCTCTGTTTGCAGCTGATAAGGAGGGAAGGCTTGCTATCATCTGTAACTTGAGGCCCAAGGGGCTGGAAAGACTATTCTGTAAACACTGTCCCAAGGCTGTCCCTTGCCAGCTATATTTAACCAGGCAGTGTTAATTAGACAGATGCCATTTCCTCTCTTACATCTGAATCATTTAAGAGAATTAGACAGCATTGGCCAGTGGGGAACTCAGCTTCCTTCTGCATGGGTTGAGAGTAGAAAGCATTTTTTGGTCTTCGAGTTGGGAGACTCAATTGGTCAGATTACTTATTTTATGATTATATTATAAATCAAGTATATTTTGGAAATTTTGATTTTAATATTTTTTAATTGAGTTAAAATAGTGGCCCCCTTCTCATAATGCATGAGACCCATGTAAAGATAAATGAGTCAGCCTATGTGATACATTGAGTATGAACTAGAGTTGTGCTTTAGGAGACAGTGGGGATGTAATGGCAAGAGAGCTGGCGTCAATCCCAATTTTGTTGGTAGATAGCTCTACACTCTCAGGCAAGTAATTAAACCCTTCGAGTCTCTGTTTCTTCATTTATAAAATGCTGATCAGAATATTCAATTAATAACGTTGTAAGGTTAAAAGAAATTATAGATGCAGACTGGGCATGGTGGCTCACGCCTGTAATCCCAGCACTTTGGGAGGCTGAGGCAGGCGGATCACCTGAGATCAGGAGTTCGAGACCAGCCTGGTCAACATGGAGAAATCCCAACTCTACTAAAAATACAAAAATTAGCTGGGGGCAGTGGCACATGCCTGTAATCCCAGCTATTCAGGAGGCTGAGGCAGGAGAATCACTTGAACCTGGGAGGTGGAGGTTGCGGTGAGCCAGGATGGCACCACTGCACTCTAGCCTGGGCAACAGAGCAAGAGTTCATCTAAAAAAAAAAAATGCAAAGTATTATATAAGATAAAGCTAAATGATATTTATGTTTTCAAATAATTTTATGGAATGAATAAAAATTCATACCCCAGCAAAGGTAGCCTGACCAAAATCAGCACGAGTTTTCTTCTGTTCCTCCCATATCTTGTGAACTTATCTCATTGAAATTGAAGACCTAATCTCCATGACTATCAAATACTGTGATTCTCTGCGAAGACAGCTTACTGTCAGGACAATCTTGAAAGCTGTTATTTTGTTGTTGATCAAAATTTCCCTAAATCTCAAACCCTTTAGATTAGAAAATAAATACCCTCAAACCTAACAGTCTTTCAGTGACCAGTCAACTGGGACCATAGTTGTCCTCTCAGTGGGAATTCCTACCCAAGTAAGTGAGATTTGGGTTAATGAGGAAGGTGGCTGCCAGTGAGAGGGTGAAACGCCAGGAGATCAGAGGATTAAAGCCAACTGCAACAGGGTGATAGCAAGGGGCTCGTTTCTCTGACTCTCCACAATTGCTCCGTCTTTTGCAGATAATTTATAGAGGTGAATATTACCCATTCAAAGGTAGATGTTAAGCAAAAAGTAGTCCTGGAGTCAAAGTAAAAGTTAACTCTCTGAGCTTTATCACCAGACAAAACGTACTTCCAACAAAACCACCACAAATACACTTTGTGTACACTTTCTTCTAGATCCATCTATCGAAGGCAAATCAAAATTGTTGTGACCTAGGATGACCCACTCAGCAGGAAGGAGTATTCTGCCCTCCTCAGTTAATGCTAAATGCCTTTGCTGATTTGATTCACCCCATCACTTTGGCACGCAAGGCTTCTTCTAATTAAGGCTTTGACTCTAGTTTGCAGAGAGACATGGCTTCTGCGGGTCATCCTGATGGTATCAACAGTAGACAGTGGTCGCCTCGGGGGATCAAGTGTCAGGTGAATGGTCCTGAAGACCAAGATCCCATTTCTATGCAAATTCACCTTAATAAGCAGGATGGAGACAAGAGAAGGGCAAATGCTAAACATATTAGAAAGTTACATAAATTAGAAATGGAAAAAACATCCAAGGTAAGCTCTAGATATGACCTTGATTTGGGGAAGATCTTTCCAACGTTATGTGTAACTCAGCTCAGGCTTGGGCGCTGGGGCCAGGCTGGCTGCAAAGCACTTCAGTGAGCAGTGAGAAGGCCGAGGCAGAAGTAAAATTGCTTCTGAATAGTCGCGCTTTTCTCTGCCTTCCCCCAGGAGGCGGGTGGTATGGCAAAGCCTACGGACACAGGCATGTCACAGGGCTCCCCAGCTTATAATATTAATCCTGGCTCAAAAAACCCAATTAAACAGGCCCACTCTTCATAAAATTGCTTTGAAAAAAAATTGTTTGCTCCCATTTCCATTTGCGAGATGAAATCTGCTTGGCTGCTGTTTGCTCAGAGTGGGGTGGGGTATGTTCTCTTTTTGTTTAAGCCACAGGGCTTCAAAAACTCTTCCCTTGAAGCACTCCTCATAGCAGAGAATGGTAAATATGCCACCCTTGGGTGTCGGTCTTCTGTTTGATCATTAAAATGCATGGAAATGTATATCTCATTCCCCTATAACCATTAGCATTAATTTTGAAAAGTTTAAAAATTACCACCAGAGCCAACATGGCGAAACCTCATCTCTACTAAAAATACAAAACTTAGCCAGGCGTGATGTTGGGCACCTATAATCCCAGCTACTCGGGAAGCTGGGGCAAGAGAATCACTTCAACCCAGGAGGCGGAGGTTGCAGTGAGCCGAGATTGTGCCATTGCACTCCAGCCTGGGTGACAAGAGTGAAACTCCG